AAGGCAGCGAGCCGCGTTGATCTTGGGAGTCACCGGGAAGGATCCATAAGCATTTCGTCGACGTTACCCGCTATCTTCATACCCGGAAGACTCAGGATTTTCCCATTCCATGAGAATTCCACAAATCCTCCGGCAAGATCACCAAGGACGAGATTCCAACAAGTAAGACGATCGCGTGCCTCGATGTTAGCCAGCCTGAAACAGAAGAAGGTCATCTAGTAATGTTTCACAAGAATTGGACAGTGACAGTAGCCACGTCCGTAGACCGAGGAATCCACGTTGAAGAAATCGTCAACAGAATCAGCAATGTTCTTTCCCTTTATGCTGCGTTCTAAAGCGTCAAGGGATCCGAGAAGAAGAATGAAGAGGGCTCACAAACCTTCGGAAGGGCCTGGTTGAAGCCGACATCTTCATCTTCCCAGAGCCAGAAAGACTCCGAACTGGAAAGGCCTCCAGTTTCCCGGGTCAACAGCTGGAATTCTAACAGCGATGTCGAAAAGAAGCTGAATCAGGAGCAAGTCAAAGACGTGATGAACCAAGCAGATCCCAAGCATCCAAGAATCTGGTGACCTAGACACTGCGATGCTCACAAGATGACAACCTAAAAGATCGAGAGACAGCTCACAGAGTTCAACAAGATCGACATCGTGAACCAGCTGGCAGATGTCAATTGCAGATCCGTCAAGAAGAAACTGATCATGGCTCAGAACTTCACTCCTCCGACAGGACTGTCTAATCTTCAGATGGAGAGCATCCGTTCCATCATAAGGGAAGGAAACGTGGATTCGACTACCTCATGGTGCCCTACAGCTTTGCTCATATGACAACAACAAGAAACGGAAGGCATATCTGGAGATTCTACAACACGGCCTTCAATCAACAAAGATGAAGAAAACAAGAACCGATGCTGCAGTGGAAGCGACCCAGACATCCACCTTGAACGACAGCCAGTATTCCCGGAAAACAAGAAGGAGGGCTTGGGTGATGTCTGCTTGAAAGTCTGGTATGGGTTGCTTTGAGAAGCCGAGAACACCAAGTCCCACGGGACAGAACCAGAACAGAGGTTCCGACTCCTGCTAAACACACCTGCAAGGAGAAGACACCGTTGGGCCCATCTTCCAGTGGAACCGATCCCTAAGAGCAAGAATATACAATCTATAAAAGGCCTTCCATAATGGCAGAATACTCTATTTGGATGCCGGAAACCAAGAGTTCACGCAAGAACCGACCGAGACCAAAGACAAGTGCAACTACCATTCTTGACAGCTGGCGTGTCTCACCCCTACCATGGTCAGTGCAAAACATGCCATGATTGCTAAAACGTGGACTGTAACAATTGTCAACTCCGCACGCAAGAAAAAATAGTCCAAAACGCACAGATATCAGCCCTCCAGTGATGGAAGGAGTCGCGGAATGTTTCAGTAAAGCCCAGCAAACTCCGATGGACCATATCCGTATTTATTCAGAGTTTGCGGCGCTGAACCACAGGTGGAAGGGCAGTGTTGAGATGGACAGCTGATACGATGTCCTAGATTGCCTGGCATCCTATGTAAATATTCCATTGGGCCAAGAGCGACAGAATATAGGAGGTCCGCAGGCAATTCGTAGATCAAGATCAAGATCCTGCCGCAGATTCAGCATATGGCATATGTTCCGTGGAGAACACATTTCCCGACTACATGGTCAACTCCGGAGAACGACACAACCTCCTCACACGCGAACAGCTCATGCTGGGAAGTGCAGACACCATCCTCTCGATTCCATGAGCGAGAACCCCAACATGTCCGAGGAGAAACTGAAACGCAAGAGGCAACAAGACCAAGAACGTGGATATTCCAGCCGAAGAGCATTCCAAAGACAAAATGGACCACCTTGCCATCTTGATGGCACAATGATGAAGAGCACCATTTCGTTTGCATTTCCATTCATGTTCGCTTCGGACATTCCGGAATTTCTCACCATGATTGTAGAAGTAGTTGTCTATCGTTTCTGACTCGTGCACACATTCCGAAGTTTCAATCCGAGAAGAAAATAAGAAAAGAGTGCGCCTTTTTGATTCAGAACAACCGACGAACTTAGATGGCTACGGCTAACAATTTCCCATGTGCGTTCTATCACTGCACCATTCCGCGTAACCTAGGCCTTTCGAGCCGAGTGATAAAATCACTCTGTGGCGGCATTCCTTTAGGCATTAATGCTGCAATGAGTGGAAAGAGATTTGTGTCTCTTTTGTTGGTCTGCGCTTGCTTCACAGTATTCCACTCATGATGCAGTCCGCCGAAGTGCAGATGTACGCCTTGAGATTTTGCGCAACGAGCAACGATGCCGATTTATCGAGGACGACATTGTATTCCGGACAGCTTTACAAGAAAAATCTTCCAGAGTTTCGATGACGCGCTCCGTCCATTCTGGAGCTCTAGAATAGATCTTTTCCGCACACCGATGCCCCCCTCTCTCGACTCGGCCAGAACGCCTCTGCTCAGCTTGTAGCTCTCTCAAATAGAGAAACAAGTGCGCTTTACTGATTGTGGTACATAGTACATTGCTTCCATCAGGAAAGCAAACACCGCTTTACCATTTACATATTTCTGCATCGGAGTGGATCCTCACCAGGGACCTACGAGGTGTACATTGCTGGGGTCTTTTGGATCCCCCCCATTTGCAACCTCAACCCCCCCCCCCGCCATTGGGCCACTCCCTCGCGTTGTTTTACTGGGCCCGACCACAACATACAGTACATGCCAATGAAAAAACAATACAGTACCTGACTGCCTTGACGTACCCGCCATCCAACTGACACACAAATTTACGTTGAGATTCTCAAAATTATTCTTGTATCTAAGTCATCGCCTACTTACAGCTGCCAAAAGCCCTCTAAGTTTACATCCCCCCCCCAGCTGGAAGCGCTCTGTCAGCCATTCTGCTACCGGGGTCCCGTTCCCGGTGCCTGCTCGCCCTCGTGGAAAACTAAGGGCTTGCGTTCCAGAGAGGAGGAGGACCTCAGGACGCAGAATGCCAAGTTCTGCACGAGGCCCTGGTGTTGGGCAAACTTCAGGTCGTTGATGCCCTCCTGCCAAACAACATCGGGATGTGAACTCTATCATTCACAAACTGGAAATCAGGAATCTCCAAGCAAGGGACCTCCACGTCCCATCGGTGAGCTGGTTAGAGTTGCCCAGAGGGAAATGCGTTCTGCTTTGTTTTTCGAACTCGGGACGGACATTTGGAGTTGGGCGCATCTGGCATCCTCACCGGGAACTTGCCAAATGCACAAAAGCGGGACGCAAAAGATTCACAAATCCAGCCCTGAATCTACGTTCCAAAAAAAGGGTTCCCGCATTGAAGAAAGGCTCACCAAGATCCGGAACTCAAACCTCCGTCGAGTTGGTGTTGTTTGCCTGGATGAGCAGTGGTCGGATCGGTGCTTAGGGTGGTTGTTGCCTTTTGGACAGCTGGAACTCAGCCTTTCTGTATCACAACAATCCTATCGTGACATCCGGACGTTGCACAGCGGAAATCTTGAAAGCTCCTGCATTTTCGTGGATCAATTGATAGAAATTGGAGGCAAACCCGTGCGGCCCTTCCTTATCGTCTCGGCTGCTTCGGCTGCCTATGCGGCCAGGTTCAGTCCTCTTCGGCGATGAGTCTCAGGACGTAGTGACAGCGCGCACAAACCGAGGAGGAGATGAAATTCACAACTGCCAGCTTCTTCCAGGGCAGGTGAACAAAGTCATAGGGATAGGGAACCTCCGGCACGGCCACAAGGCAAACACGGTTCAGCAAGTCAATCAGTTCCTCAGGGACACAACCACAGGACATTTAGGTCGTGTCTTGTTGAATGCGAGTGTGAGCGACGAGCTGCTAAACCGCCGGCAACATACGTCCTTCTTTGGAAACCAAAACTCCGGAAGAAGGATACACGTCACAGAACCTTCATGCTGCCACTCAGGGGTTTCACAAGGGCATAGACCCTCCAGGGCTCCAGATCATCTCTGTCTTCGGCGTACTTCTGCTGAGCATCCCCTTTTCATTTCCTCCTTACACCTCTAGAAAAACTGCACTTGATGTTGAGCTGACCTTCACTTTCTCAAAACTGCCCTTGCCAGCTGGCCCCGTGCATACCTTTGAGCCCGTGTCCGGATAGCGCTGGGTCTTGGAGCTGCGAAGGATCAAAGTCGTGTTTGGGAGGATCGGCATAACGTCACCGCCTTTTCACTGATGCAAACAGATACCACCTTGAGCCACAGAATAATATACCGGAGACTGCCACTAGCGCATGTACATCTTTGAATCATGCCAAAAGCACTCCAGTTCAGCTTCTTTTTGCAAACCCTGCATATCTTTTGACCAGTCAACTTGGTGCTTTGCTGCCAGCCAGCCATCAGCAGTGCCCCGGATGTTCACATCCGGCATCCCATGAAACAATCCCCCTGCCACAGATCTAACTGCTTGCTGCTCAAATGGACATCGTCGAGCCAAAAACAGCTAACGAGTTAGCCAAGTGAGGCTAGAAAGGATTCCCGTCAAAATGTTGGAGTATGTCATTTGAGGCGCGAACATCGCTTTAAAGGAAACCAAGCGGTTGGCTTACTGGTATTTGGGTCCCTTGAATCTGGCAATCCCGCCTGATCCTGATCGGTCCGCTTGATTCACTTTTGCTGCGGGTTGAGGACCCAAACAAAACGGAGACGATAGTTTGTGCCTGGTGGTGTTGACATGTTTCCACACGGAACTCGGCGACAAGACATGGTTCAAGCTCTACTAAAAGTGTTCGAGATGGAATTCCCAGTGGGCCTGCGTTAACATCTGAACAAAAGCGAAAACCCTATTTAAGTTCGTGGCCAAGTCCCAAGTATATCCATTAAAGAAAAGGCACCAATAGGAAACCACGCCAATTGGGGGCGCAACTCGTTGAAAGGCAACCCGAGCATGGGTAGGGGCTGGTTGATGAACCAAATCCCTACTGGGACAACATGCCCCTCCTCCGCCCAGGCCGCTGCCTTGTGCAGCAAAGGCGACTGAGTGTGCAGGTCCGCCTGAAAAGGATCCAGGCCCTCCAGGCACACAGCAACAATCTGACCGAAGGTGACTCGGCTGTGTTTCTCAAGGGAGAGTTCACAAGAGTATTTGCAATTTGGGGTGATCCGGACTCTTTGCTTTAGAATCGCCGACCCCTCCCGCGACCAATGGCCTCCCGGCCCAGGCGCACCGCGTCCACTGCGGAGGCGCTGCCTCGCCTCGCTTTGGGAGTCAAAAAGCCATAGAAACCCAAACAAACAACATAAAATCCTGATTCTCCAGCCCCCCAAAACAAACGCACTCTGGACGGATCATAGACCATATGAATCCAGACTATTGTGACACTCCTCTATCCGGCTGCGCCCATCATTGGGATTGTTGCCGGTTGAGCATTGGCCATAGCTTCAAGTACAGGGGGGGTTGTGCAAACTAATTTAACGTTGGACCAGTGCCTTTGACAGGTATCCTCTCTCCTGTTCCAAAGTATGTTGGAAGGCCCCCAGTGTCGATGTTTAGAAGGGCAGCCAAGCCATACATTGTTTGGCATCACGAGTACTCCACATCTTGAGTCACACGCAAATAGGCAACACTCACAAAAGTATTTGCTTTAAGTGAAATGATACGAATGATTCAGGGTTTCCGGCTTGGACCTTGTTCTGTTATTTTTCCTTGGGGGGATGGAGGAGTGCCGGGCACAAGTGGCTCCCTAGTTCTGACTCAGTCTTCTGTCTATAAACTGTAATGAGCGGACTCACCCACACGCGTGCTTGTTCGAACCTGCTTATAATTAGCAACCTCCGGGATTTCCACCGTCAAAAAAACAAAGGATCTAAAGGACCTCGCATCAATTCTACCAGTGGGGGTTCTGCCATGCATCCGGGTGCGGGCTGTTTAGTGGAGGATCTTGAAAACAAGGAAACGGGCATCCGAGGCCAAGAAATTCACACTCTCAAAATCACCCTTAATTGGCAGTGAGCTTGAAATCCACCCCTGAAGGTCACTTTGAGTATGTCTGAGAATCCCACTAGAATGATGACCCAGTTGAATAAGAACAGGAAAACTATTTCATCACTTCAAGGATAATCTCTTGGGTCCCGTCGCGTCACAAACATTGTCCCTAAAACCAACTTCTCCACAACCATGCCCCCAAATGATCATTCAGTTGAATGACAGGGTGGGACTTTTTGCAGCCATAAAGAATCAAAGACCACTCGAAAGGGACTTGACAAGAGGTCTAGCGCTCTGTTGATTAGTGAGGTTACAACCCATTTTGGAAGAAAGGCCAAACACCTTGAACGACCCCAGAGACGCGAACTTGCCGTAAATCGAATCTGGGCATGGGGCCAGGCTAGGAGCCCCGGATCCACCGGCAGCTTGTAGAAGCCCTGGCAAACATGGCAACGCGGGTTTCGCCTTGCTGCGTTTTCGGCGCCAAATGCCAAAAAGCGACCACTCGAATTTTGATGTCCCTAAAAAGAGATGTTAGTAGCAAAGAACACCAAGCATCGATGTTGAGCCCAAGCGGCTTAAACAAAACCTCGAATGAGCAAACAAATCAACCCTTGTGCATGCAGCTTCAATGGAGCATCAAACCCTGTCCAAACGCAAAGCCAAGCAATTCAAAGTTGTTGTAAAGATGAAGCCAAACCTGGTGGCTCAAGATCGAGGACTTGTCGCCCAATATGGAAGGATCTCGCGGGTTTGCCGGCCATCCTGCTGCTGGTGCCAAATGAAATAGGCACGTGAAGCCATGGTGAAGTGCATGAGGCTCCATGTTCTCTAGTTGAAACTGTTTCAGGAATCAACCGTACAAAGCGCCTGGAGAGAGTGAGAAGGGCAAAGTGATTCAGCTTAGGGGGATTCCGCTGATTTGCATGATCCTCCAGGTGAATCCGGAACCCTACAGAAGGGATCCCTAAAAGGAGGCTTCTCGAAGGTCTGCCAAAATGTGCTGTAAGAGGTCGATATTGTATTATAGGTGGAAGGACTCGAAAATAAAGAGGGGAAAATCTATCAGAAACCTTCACGCAGGGGGAATTGCTTCAGAAACTTGGAAGGGGTGGATTGGGGATATGTGAATCACATGAGAACATTTGAGAAGCCATCAAGAGGGGCAGGTATCAGAAGTCTCGGGAACAATAGTAAAAACTCCCGTTTCCAAAGTGTACGGCACACCCACCAACGATGACTGGGCACTGGTCTGCAGGGAAAGCAGCAAGACACCTGGAGGGTTTTCAGAATTCCAAGCGGGTTTCCACCTCATGGCCAACATACATTCTCACTTGCCTATAGGAGCTGGACATATAAGCCAATGTTAGCTTGCTGAATGCGTGCTTGTTCCTTTAGTCTTTATGTGGGTTGGGTTGAGTTGAGTTGGGCGCTTGGTTGGTTGGTTGGTTGGTCGCTCGGTCGGTCGGTTGCTTGCTTGGTTGGTTGTTGCTGGGTTGGTGCGGTGGGTAGGTGGGCGTGGGTGGGGTGGGCTGGGATTTTGCGCGCTGTACTTCCGTGTGGTTCCGTTCAACCATATTTGGTTAGTTTGCTTGTTCAGTCGTCTCTCTGAGCCCATCGAAGATTTTGGTGGAAGGTGCCACGATGCAGTCATCCCCATATTCGCTCCAGCCGTACATTCTTAACTTTCAACATCAGCAGCACATATCAAGCTGGCAAATCACGCAGGTATGCACTATTGAATTTGCCAATGTGTATTTGTCTTTACAAGCAGCAAACTGATTAGCCACGGATTGGCCGATGGATGGTGCTCGCAGGGGCATTCGCTTGGGCCAATTTAATGTAAGGAAGGAATGGGACTGAAGAACGTGTTTCGGAACGAAATATGCTTTGATACGTAAAGGCTTATAAAGTAGGATGTGTACTTCTCCATTAGCTCTAACGAATCTGCTTCTCGATCGAGAACGTGACTGCTATCACTGATCCCTCATCAGTCTTCTTTGACCCTTCCTCCCCGGCCTCTTTTCCCCCACCCCCCCACCCCTCACCCCGAAAGCATGACCTCCTGCTGGCCAGGCCTGTCTGACGTGTCTGAGACTAGCCTCACAGCCCAGAGTAGCCTGCCTCAAGCCTACCCAACCAGCGACCACCCATCCACCCAGGCCCGCCCAGCCCAGCTCGCCCTGTCGGCTGGCTCCATGACTCACTCCTGGTCCTGTTCATCGCCTTGCCCTTGCCTCAGGGATTCCTGCGGGCCCGACATCAATTGGTCCAACGACGCCAGAATCGCCACTTGACCGCTCTGCTGCTTGCAGTCGAACCACAGACGCTGAGCGCTCGGCCGGGCCGAGGCGGGCAACGCGCAGCGTTTACAATTACTATATACATGTACTGATGCTACAGTTTGCACATGTCTGCAAGTTATCTTCGTAATGCGCAAATCTTGTGGGCCATCCTCATGCAAACGCACAACTACATATGGCGCCATAGACTGGCGGTGCTTGGACCCTCGCGTAATTCCTGGATGCAAATCCCACTTGTCCAGGGCGGAAACATTTCACCTGGACACTGTGCATCGAAATGGACCTGCTATAGGTTTCAGAAGCCGTTGCTTCCATCAAACAAAAGTAGGCTTGCATCAGCACATTGCACTTTCAGCCACGTGGCAATACGGAGGTTGTTCCCGTTTAGACAAATTAGAATGCATGCCGCTGTCATTAGGCGGCCCGGTCCGAAGGCACCGTGTGCACTGGATTCCAGGCCTCCAAGAACTCGAGAGTGTGACCACTCAGCGGATGCGCCTGGTGGGCTCAATGGAAAGCATTGGAGCGTGCTGACGTGTTGCGAACTGGATCAGGATCCCAAATGAAGCGTACAGCGCGTTCCGCCGCACGTTCCGCCTTCCATGGTCGATTGTCTGGCTATTGTTCAAGCTATTGTCAGGCTATTGTTGGGAGAGTGATGTGTTCGGCTCTGGTTCTGCGGGGAGATCTCTACAGGACAGGAGGGCCCTTGAGCGACGGCTCCTCACCCTGCTCACAGCTTCAAGGCATGTGTTTCTGTTGTGCCAAAGCAGACTATGGCTCCCGCTTTGAAGGGCAATAGGGCAACATATTAATTCATGTGCGGGGTATGGCTGAGCAGCTGCTCTGTTCACAGCAGGCCGCACTTATCATGATACTGAATGTGTCTTCAACGGAAGGAACATGCGCTAGTTGGTCAAAATAGTTGGTCAACTGCCAATCCATAGCATGCGCAATTACACATTCAACAACTCGACTTCGAAGGCAGGGTGACCCAACTAGGCCTGCTCAAGTGCTGACCTGCACTGAGGCTCTGCATGGCGCTTGAACCAGCGTAGGTAAATGTTTTAGGCCAGGCAGCCATGCTCTGCGCAGAATGTGTTTTTAGTCTCGTGTCCCTCCACCTCCCAACCCACAACTTGAAGGTAAGGCAATCGCAACACCAAAATAGGCTTGATCCCACACCCTGATCGTCTCTGTGGCAGGCACATGGAAGTTGTGGATGTTGTAGAAGCTGTAGTCGCAAATGTGATCTGTTGCAACCTGATGCCACACTGGTGGATTCAATGACGCCCTCGAAGCTTGTCTGGTCATGCCGCGGGTCAACCAACACATTGCAAACACGGCTTGCCCCAGCGCCCAAGACAATGGCTCAACCTGCCCTGGTCAATTGTCTTGGTGGCCACTGCTTCCTGCCCAAGGAGGTTTGCGTTTTTGCTACTCAATAAGAAACAACACATTTCCTCAAAAGCTAAAAAGCCCAACCAAACGCCAATCGAGCAAACCTCCTATAATGGAGCACTGTGCGCCGGGCCAGGATATCATGGTCCACGTCGTAGAATGCGTGGCCCTTGCCCGTCTGCCTGAACCTGGCATTTCTTTCACCTAGCTACTCGCCTGCAGATTAACATGAAAACACACAGCCATGATTTGTGGAGAAAGCTGCTGTTGTCGGGACCCCTTGTTTGATTCGCAGAGGAGTGAACAAATTGTCATCATGGCTGGTTGGCCACCTCAGTAGAACGATGGTTGGTCATAGAGGCAGTAAGTCAAAGGCATAGCGCTTGCGGCCAATCCTGGCCAAGGAGCAGTCGGCTGAGTTATCAAAACAAACATATAGCATTCCAGGAGTCCCAAAACTTCGTCATAAAGGGACTTGAATATGACTGGGTACAGTCCCCTTACCTGAATCTCTTTAGGTGTTACTTGGGGCTCTGCTAGTTCTTCAAGGATGCACAGGTCGGCAACGTGTGCTCTGAGGAGCCAACTGGCCGTTGATGGTGTGGTAGCAGCTCGGCCACACACCGTCCTTCCAAGCGACCAAAGTTGGCACCGCATACTGCATGCAATGAATGCCATTTGCTATAATTTGTGCATCCGTTCTGGGCCGGTTGCTCTTTGTTGGGCGCTGTTCGTTAAGGGGGCAGAAACCAAGATTGATGGTTATCCCGTTGGTTCGCTTGTGAACCAACTCCGCCGAGGTCACCTGGCACAAGCAAAAACTCTCCCGGCCCGCAACGGAGGGCGCGAACCTCGTGGGAGGGTCCATTGAAGTGCAGCAAGCCCGGGGTGGTGTTGGTGAGCAGGTTTCTGGGAGGCCTCGTCGCGTGTCCAGTTTGTATCATCCGGCCTGAAGATCACGTCACAACCAGTTCACCCCAGCTCCAAATCCACGAGGGATACAAGAAACGAACCATGCGGGTCACAAACACCAGTAGTGAGGTCCCTACTCTAACACTACTCCCCTGTAAATGAAGCCAACAAGGGGGCCTATTCCTGGTATTTCCCAATGATTTCTCTATGAGTTTGATCAGCGCTGCTAGTCTGCATCTCTGGGGGCCGGGCCCTGCAGCCCTCGGCCCCCGGAACCTCGGTCGCATCCCGGGCGCCCGGGGCTCAGGACTGGACCAAATCAAGCGCGTCTTTTGGGAGTGTTCAACAAGCTCCAGGGATTGGGGGTGGTTCGCGATTTTGAGAGAACGACAAATGGCTCTGTCCAAATCCAAACCCAGAACCACCAAGGCAATTCTAGCCCTCGCTCAATTCAATGTTTGAGGGGTGGGAATGAGTCAAGTCGAATCGGACTGTTTTGGGGAAAGCTTCGGAAGACAACCAACATGAGCCCAACTGAAGTGGGCCCGACCGCTTTGGCACTCTGCACGAACAGAATAATTGCTTTGGTGCGCAAGTGGTCAGAAGCCTCCATCTCCATCCCAAAAAGACTCGGCAAGCGCTTGGTGACTCAGGGGCCCGACTCAGGGGCCAACTTGAAAGATGTGTACCAAACAGTATTTGGGTGCTTCCTCGAAACGGCGACGCCAAACAATTTACGTGGGGTTCCTTCTAGTTTCCCTTTAAACCATTACAGAGTCATTCATGCAAACCAGTGGCCAGTGTTTGTCGCACGGCTCCCGTTCCAGCTCACCCTTCTTGTACTCAAGCATGTTGAGGAACACCTGCACGCAAAGCAACAAGTGTCAAAACGATTGCAATTGGTCTGCGAAAAACTTTGCTTCATTGACCTTCTATTTGCCAACAGCTTTCCACTATGGCATTGCCCCGCCAAGCTGTCCTCAAAAGCTTCCGTGCATGGCTGGCAATTCCCAGTAAGACTTCCGAGACCGCGCCTCTGCATGCTGGTCAATCTGGATGTTCAATTCCACTGCATGGCGCAGAATGACCAACCACATGGCACCTGGACAGCAACATGTGCAAAGCAAGTTGGCCACTTAATGATCAATTCCAGGCGACCCGAAGAAGCAGCAGGGTTGAATGCGCTCTGGTATCAGCAGTGAGTAAAATATTCTTCCTGAGCATGGTGATGTGCTCATACAAACAATCAGATTAGATGCTGAAGGGCATTTCCTGCTGAAGGCATGCAAATTGTCAAGGCATGTTGGATACCCTAGCTGAGGGTCCAGCCTCAACAGAGTGTGGAACCAGCACACGCACACAGCTGAGATGCAAAGTTTGAGCATTAAGCTTGAACAGTAGCGCCAGCCAACCCAAGCAAGTAACGACTTGTTCGATGCATACAAGTCATGCGTAGCAATGTGTCGGTCCGGACCTCAACCCAAAACTTCATTGGGAGAGGTGTCGCTGCCAAAAAACATTGCAAGCTCAATGGTACATGGCTGGTTTGACTGTGGAAAAAGGACTGAAGCCAAGTACCCAACCGAGTACCTGAGTACCTCCATGAACATGTCATTCCCAAAGAAGGATTCGTCCACCCGGCTTTATAAACCAGGCCGAATAGGACGGCCAAGGGATTGACCTCGGCTTGAACTGGATCATGGAACAGCCCAGGGCGCCTGGGCGCTCATAATTTTTAACTAAGGGAGTCGTACATTGTTGCTGGTTTTTCAGCCAAAAGCTTAGCATTTCTGGAGCCATGGGTCCCATGCTCAAGCTCTTGCCTGGCAACTACGCAACGGGTGTGTTGCTCCTTCAACCAGCTGCAAAACCCTGGACTAGACCGGAACTGCCCCCTCAAGCTTCCAACGTGGGCACAAGTCACTGGGGATACTCCAGGCAACGCATTATCAGACAGCAGGCCCCGTGGCAATTGATTGGTTTCAGCAGCTATCCTCCTTGCGGCAGTCCGGCTACGAAAGCTGTCAGACTTTGCATGCTGAGCAAACTTCGGCTCATGCAAGGCGCAAGGCGCAAGGCATGTGTTTTTGGATCTGTTGCCACCTTGACAAACAAAGGTCTGAGTTCCGTGCCCTGATCATTGACATCCTCTTCCAGCACAATCTTGTTGTTCCTGGAGCAAGCGCTGCATGCGCAGCGTCAACATATCGGCCGACTGTTCAGGTCTGCTTGATATGTCTTGTAATAGGTGTTCCAGTTCGAAAGGGAAGCACAAGCCTGGGAAAGGTTTGACGGGAACGAGATCAATCACCCAAAACAACTGATGTAATTCGCTGGCTGGTACCGCCTTGCATGGGTCCTCTTCAGAACCTCAATGACTCGCTTCACCGGCCCCATGGACAGACCGATGTTGGGAAACCTCAGAGGTACAGGCATCTTTTCACGAACTTTCTGGCTGAAGGCTTGACTGAGACTCAAAAGAACTGGCCATGTGACGCGCAACACCTGCTCAGTTCAGTCACACATTCGTAGTACATTTGCCAGTTGGATCCATAAGCACTAACAACAAATAAGGCTGTGCAGGCTGTGCTATTCGAAAGCTATGATTCAAAGACTCCTTTGGCGGCTGCCGCCGTCCACACACGACGATGGAACAAAGTTCTGTTGCCGCACACAAAAATGTCTTGAGCATCGACAGCAGCTCAGAAACATGGCTACAGATTGAATCATGTTCAACTTGAAGTGATATTAACGCAAATCCCATTGGTGCTATCTAGTCCAAAACCCTAGGAACTTAACTTGACCTTCTCAAATCCAGCATGTGCCCAAGCCAAGTGTGAACATACTTGGCAAACGGCAATATTCCATGATTATCATACGTCTCTGAAGCACATGTCTGAGCCTTTTACAGTTGCCAGCAACAACATGCATAGAGTGTCACGCAGCAACAACACTGAAGATGTCAACGCCAAACGGTGTTTATCCCTGTGGAAAGTGCCGACCAATCCACGAAGAACACTTCTGGCAGCTCCACTATATTCCTGCTCAACATAATGCCGCGTGCTCAGCACACAACACAGGGCAAAGCATGTCAATGGGGATCGACCAGCTCCCTTTGTGAAGCAGAAAAGGCCTTCACACATTCTCTGAAAAGGTGAAATGTATTTCACAACTTGTTTGCTCTCCTCGCCTGCAGTCCAACATTAATTTAATCCCAGGCCACGCAAGTGAGTTCTGACCTGCCATGTGGTGGGTGGGCTCAGTCCCAAGATGGTCCCCCTGAACGTTGATATTCCGCATGTTCAGGTTGGCGGCTTCTGTCAAAGCTTGATTTCCTTGAGCATGGGTAAAGGCAACTTTGGGGGATGCTGGGCCCTGCGGACATTTTGGAACCTGCTGGACTCAATCCATATGGCTCCAAGTTCGTGGGCTCAGCCAGGAAAGTTTCTCTTGAACCTGGGCATTTGGGCTGGTGCTCCGTACAAACATGCTCATCAAAGCAATTGCGGGCTTGGCTCTCATTTCTGTCCTGAATGGCCCAGCCTCTGGCTGGAATCCGAATCCAACATGAAAAGGGCTTTCCGAATATGACCCTGAGCTCCGGGCGGATATGGGCCGTCCGCCCGGATCATTCGGCAGAAGTCATGGGCTGTGAACCTGGCAAAGGTTACCAACACGGAACGCCCCTTCTATGCGTTCCATGTACCCTCTACAGCCAAACGTGATCCCAAAGCCGCCACTCCCAGCAACTGGCATGCAACCTCGGACCGCAGGGTAGCGCCTGACAGCCTGTCGCAAGCAACTTGAGGCTGGATGGAGCAAAACTATGGTTACCTACTCAAGCTCAATATTCCAAACTCAAGGCTGCCGTCGACTTTGAGATTGTCCTGATCGGATTGATAGATTCATCTGCCCCTTCAAATCAAGGGCTGCCGGCAGGCCTGATCCATCGGTTGATGATCCAGGACTGGTTCATGGCAGCCTGGCAAGTCATGGCAGCCTCCAAGGAATCGAGGCTCATGAACTCCTGTTGCCCTTTGCTTCTTTACCCAAGAACCTGTCAACACCCGACCTGTACCCGGAGGGGGTTTTGAGAATGCTGCTGTGAAGTCAACAGAAAACGCATCAGTGTACCCTATGGTGGCGGGCAAACAACCCTGGTACCTTGGTGAACATTCAAAAACACAGGAACATGATGCGCTACAATGGAATCTTCATTTTCCAGTTTTTGGGGTAGATGATATTGACTCACAGCCAATTTTCCAGCATGCCGGATAGAGCTGTATTTTGTTGCCTACATTTAAGTCATTCTTCTTCTTCTTCTCCTTCTTCTTTTGCCCTCAAAACAAGGGTCACGCACCTTGTCGGTCAAGTCCCAGCTGCCGTGGGAGGGGTCGCTGTGAGGCCTGGACAAACCAGATCCGGTGCGCGGTGCCAGGCATTTTCGAAGATAAAGCCCCGAAGGTTGCCTTACTGAGGGGTTCCCTTGATTAAATGGAAAATGGCAAGCAAAGCGCGGACCCCTTAGATCCGGTGGGAAGGAAACAAATGGGCAAGGCCAATTGGCGCACAGTCGGCGGCTCAATTGCCCACCAAAGCCACTCAAGGACAGCAAGTGGACTCTGCCAAGCATTTTAACTGTGCCCACATCCGGGTAATGCGACGAAAAAAGAAGGTGTGCCTCCAATGGCAGTGGGAAAATCAAACCCTGAGTCTTGTCACAGTCGTGCTCTGGGAGCTAAAATATCACACAAACACACTTGTGAGTATTCTTGCTAGATCTGGAAAGGAGAAAGAACGGGCGGAAACTGGAAACCATGGTTCCTAGGTGTATCCTGTTGGCTGCTTCCCTAGAGTACTTGTTGAAACAAAACCTACAATCAAACCTACGATTGCAGCAATAGATCGTGCCGCATTTTGATCATTTCATGCAAAGTTCTATGCAACGATTCACGAACCCAAACTAATCCTCAGGAAACCATGACCGGATCCTTCATGGGCGAGGTTACACAAATAAAATCGTACAAATATTCCGAATATGACATTGCACAAATTTTGCCCAGACTGCGTCAGGAGACTTCCGTGTGCTTAGGCGCCTGGCCAAGGCCAGCAGTTTCGCTCCCCAGAGATGAGGTATGGCCTCACAGGATGTCTCAGGTCTCGGTCTCTTGGCAAGGTCCGAAGTGGTCCAATCGAACCCGACCCAAGTCGTCGCTTTGTCATTCGCGGCATGTGCCGGCCCTCGACGCTGGCTCCATCTCTAGGGCTCAAACGAGGCATTCGAGCACATGACAAACGACCATTTTCATCATTTTCAGTGTCCGCGGTTTTCCCATTTGCCCCTTTCTCCAAAGCCAAGGCCCCAACGAGCCAGGCCAACGGCTGTAGGCTGCCAGGATCTCCAGAAGCGGCTGCTGGCGGTGGGCAAAACAGCTGCTTTTCGCCCGAAAAGTGAGTTTTCTGTTGGATTCCCGTTCCACCCACATCCTGAAAGGGCTTCCTATTCAAACACACGCCCCTTGAGAGAGTCAGACGTATTGATGGAGGCCCCCTGCTTTTGACAGTTTGCAAGGGTCGAGAGTGCGTCAAAACTGGCAAACAGGATTTTGACATTGTACTCATGCACTATAGTCACTATAGTTCTCGTTGGAAGGTGCACAACTGATGCCCCTGGTTGATTGGTCTGGCCACAATGCGAACTAGAATGCAACGGACCGTTTCTTGCATGCCAACTGGATCTGGCTGCACTGTTTTTTCTCCCATGCACATCCAGGTAAGTCCTTCTTCTTGTGCAAAAGTATGTCAAGCAATACCACCCAGCACTGCCTCCACGAGAAGACATTGTGCTTTCCAAACCTATGTCACTGCTCAGGAAAGACTTATTAGGGCGAACACAAGCACAAAGCTCATACCTAGGCCACTGACACTTGCATGACTGGAGGCGCCGCTGACCATCCATGCGTGTCATGATATTCCTGCTAGTACTGCTCCTGCCTGCAGCAGAACATCGTGACCATCAGAGAATATGACCTCAGCAAACGCAACTGACACCTACAATTCCTGCCGGCTGTGCTTGCTGAGAGGATGGCCTGTGGCCTATGGCAGCCCACTGTTGCTTGACAGTCTCAAGTGCCGTCATAGTAACGAGACGAGTCATAGTGACGGCGCACTGTGCCGCAGGGTGTTTAAACATTTAAAAGAACAATGTCATTGTGTGAAGAAACATTCCCATTGCCAAGTACCGCCAAGTGGCTATGTCATCCTCAGCGATTCTTCCCTTGCTCAACTCATACTCCAGGACCTGTGCCGCGTGGCACTGAGCCAAACATCCCGATGCCTTGTGGCTCAAAGTCAAACGCATGCAGCACGCAGTTGACCAGCTGGGAAGACGTGAAGACATTATGCAGCTTGCTGTGCAGCTCTCACGCATGGATGAACTGGACTCACCCGAAACGGCACTGGCGTTGTGGTGTGTCGTAGCAATACATTGCTTCATCGCAAACATGCCATTGCTTGCGCTTAGGCAACCAGTGCGATACACTCTATGCTTCAAAACGTGTGGTCTACTTCAAGCAGACGAGGCTCAAGGCAAAAAGCTCAATACTCAAGCAATGACTCGTAAGTGCACTCGCATCACACCAAGTGATAGCACATCGAGGGGTAAAGCTGAGTACCATACAACCCTTCGTTTTCCGCATGAAACGACATCAACATTGGCCACAGCAGAGTGGATTTCTTGATTTACATGCGGCCGCTGAGATTCTCAAGAGTTCACAGGGCTTAGGCTTGCCAGTGAGTTGAGGAAATGCGATTGAATAGAAATTAGCATAGTGCTTCTTAAACTGGCATCAACCGACAAGTTTAAGTAGTTCCACTGGAGTGACTACCCACTCCAACAAAAATAGTAAGATCTCCTCTGGCATCCTGTGACAACACCCATATTCTCAATATGAGCGTGTTGCGGGCTCTCTCTCTCTCTATATTGCTCCCCTCAAACATCACCCCATTTGAAGGAATCTGGCTCTACATTAACTAAAAAGAGGATGCTTAAAACCAACGGAACATCTACCTTCCGCCCTGTGGGAGGGCACCTGGAAAAACAAATACTTTCACGTTTGAAGGAACCTTGGCCGGTCAGGTGCCGTGTTCGTGGGAAGGAGGCTAGAGCGGCTAGTGTGTCCAAAAACTTAGAGGATGCAATGCCCAGGCCAAGGGCGCCCGGTTCCTGATTGGAAGGGTGCCACACCCTCCCTTCGCCCGCCTCCTGGAGCATCAGGAACCTTTCGCAACGGGGAGGGAACACGTGCCACGCAGAAGTCCCGAAGCTTTGGGGAGCCGAGGTTGGTACAAAAGGACCGGTGGAGCTCAATGAGCATTACAGAGGCGGACATCATTGACATGGGATGTGTGGCTTGCCCCGTCATTAACACAAAATCACAGCAACAAATATGGCTATGATTTTGCTTAGGGGTCTGTAACGCGCGACGCGCCACGAATCCTGTTACGGAGGTCTGTAACGGAGGTCCTTGTTACGCAGGTCTGTAACGGCACAAACATTTCCTGACAAGCAGTATCAGCAGCACAATGTAGCGCAGCAGAACGAGGTATGTAATCGCTATGTAACGAGGTCTGTAACGAGGCAAAGCAAGGCGTAGGACGAAAAGCGCGCCTCCGCAGCACCAGCTTGATTGCAGCTACTCAACGCAAGCCAAGCTGCGGCAAAAAGCAGGGTCGCTGGCCCGGGCTGGGGTTGGGTCTGTAACGAGGTATGTAACGGCTATGTAACGAGGTCTGTAACGAGGCAAGGCAAGGCGCAGCACGCAAAGCACGCCTGCGCAGCTCTATTCAACGCAAAGCCAAGCGGCGGCAAAAAGCGGGGTTGCTGGCCCGGTTTGTTCATCTGAGGTGTGTAACGAGGGCGTGTGACGAGGGTGTGTAACGAGGGTGTGTAACGAGGGGTGTGTAACGAGCCAGCTCAGCTGGTTTTGTTACAGAGGTCTGTATCAAGGTCTGTAACGAATGTCCGCAGCGGCTCTGTTACAGACCCCTCAAAAAAAACACTGCCGTATCAATACGAAACGGGCAACCCTCAACTCTGGCTTTCGCCAAAAAGCCACATAAAACTCGACTCTCTGAAAACTTACACCATCGACAAAACTGGACAATGGCTGACACTCACGATGTCCATCCCCGTGCATTCACTGCCTTCACCTAAGTGACCCAGTGGTTCAGCCATGGTGCGCCAAGGGTGAACACCCACAGCCCAGCCCGCAGCCAGCCAGTTTGCAGAAAAGCCATGAATGAACCTGGCATGGAGCAAACAACAGCCACAAAAGGAAAACTGCACGGAGAATTTGGAACGCACAAGGCTATGGTTCTGCTAACACTTTGCTTTATTTTTTCCCAATGCATAACATCACCTTGCCCACCGTGTGCCGTGTGGAAACGCTCCATGCATTGAGCATCAATCTTTGCTTTGGGACCACTACAGCAACCCGCAAAATATCATCAGCTTCTTGGCTTGTGACAAGCTCGCCAATATGAGCGGCCCCAGGGAAGATGTTATTTTCGCCGGAAACCTGCCCCTTTGTTCCCTCCAAGCAGCTTGAGGGTGGGTGAATGACTGTGGATGAGGATGTAGCCAGGCCTCGGAAGGCCGCCCAATCCAGGGAGCCACTGGTGGATCCATGGACGCACGCCTCGAAATTTGACCAACCCCCACATGAATTTGCCTGACAGTTGCTCCGACCCTGACATTCTGTTGTAGAATTCGGCCGCGGGAAACAGATTGCTGGGTTCAGAAAAACAAACAAACCAACATTAAATCTGAAACCAGTAGAGCCGGCGAAGCCGGTTGACGTGAAGCTTTCAAAAAAAAGAAACGCGGCTATCATGTTCTATCTCTTTTTCTCTCTCTTGCCCGTGTTATTGCTCTTGCTCCGTCTCTTCTCTTTATATTTATCTTCTTTTATCTTTTCCTTTTGCTTTCTCTTCTCGTTGTTTCCTTCGCTCTTCGTCTTTGTCTCATTGATCTTTCTCTTTCGGTTTCTCTTCTTTTTCCTTTTCTGTCTCTCCTTTTTGCAATCCACCTACCTACCTATCTTTATCTTACTTGTCTAGCAATCTATCTAGCTAGCGTTCGATCTATCTATCTGTCTATCTACCTGTCTATCTATCTGTCTATCTGTCTATCTTGCTATCTTGCTATCTACATATCTATCAATCCATCTAGCTAGCTAACTATTCCTCTATCTCTCTTTTCCCGCTATCTCGCTATGTATCTATCTCTGTATCTCTCCTTCCCTGTGTATCTCTATCTCCGTATCTCTCTATCTCCCCCATCTCTCTGTCTCCCTATCTCTCTAGCTCGGTATCTCTATCTGTCTACCTACCGATCTATCTATGTATCTACATATCCATCTTCTATCTATCGATTTACCTGTCTTCCTATCTATCTAGCAACCCATCCATCCACCCCATCATCCATCTGTATATCTATCTCTCTGTTTCTCTGCCCCGCTAGGTTTCTATTTATTGTTTGTCTATATATATCTATCTGCCGGTCGATCTATCCAACTAACTTTTTGTCTACCTACCTACCTACCTACCTACCTACCTACCTACCTACCTGAGTATCTCTATCTATCAATCTATCTATCTGTCTGTCTGTCTGTCCGTGTGTCTGTTTGTCTGTCTCCCTATCTCCTATCTATCTATCTAGCATTTCTATCTACTTATATTAGACTGTTTATTTCTAGCTGGGTATCTATCTATTTACCTGTTCCCTTATGTACTTATTTCTTTATTTATCTATTTCTGTCTTTGATTATTTCTAACTGTCCCATCTCACTATCTAGCTATCTAGCCATCAATTTTCTTGCTTCTCTACCTATCGTAGATCTATCTGTCTCTCCGTTAATCGTGCCTGGCATTGCGAAAGTGCTACCCCGCCACACGCCCGCGTCTGTTTTCGCATGCGCTCGTTCTTTATTTATCTTGTCTGTGCGCAAGACTACCTTCCAATAGTGTCCTTATCACAGAAGTTCCTTCTAAACTTCCTTTGACAACCCCCCTGACACGGAAGGTGCCCACAATCGAGGGTGGTCCTTCATGAGGCCTAGGTTGGAACCATTCCCGAACCTGCGCTAGATCCAACACTATCTCAAAATCAAACCATGGCCGAACCCATCTGTCGTTGGAGCTTCCAACCTTGGAGCAGCGGAATCCCGAACCAGCTAGCTCCCCCCCACCGCTGAGTATGAGCACTATTTGGAACATCAGTTGGTTGGCAGCGGTTTGGGCCTGGCAGCTGCGGGTCCCAGGGTAAACCATTGGCTCCTTCAAAGGGACACCGGGGAATCAAGGGGAACTCGCGGACACAACTTGATGGTAGGGAAGGTCAAGAACCAAGAACCACATAAAATCGGATTCTAGCTAACCATAATCATATTAGGGGAGTAATTAATGCCCCACATGAGTGTCAACCATGGGGCAAACGAAAGTTCTATGGGACTTCCGCGTTGCAGCTGTCCCTTCCGTTGGGACGCAACTGGGCTCTGGGCCGCTTGCTGAGGCCAATGACCCGCAGCCCGTGGCCCAGCTCAAAGGCTGCCTTCGGCGTTGGAACATCGCCCCTTTCGCCTGGGTTCGAATTCTTTCTGGGATTAGCAAAACAAGTCCGACCGTTGCGCTTGCCACTAGACTGGCCTTCCCAGAGGGTGAGACGTAGGGTGAGCTTGAATCCGGAATCTCGCGACGCTTAGCATCACAGAAACTCTTCTGCACGGCCCTGCCTCAGCGAGAGCACAAAGGCCCGGGTGCGGTATCTTGGCAAGGGCTACGGCTACGACTTGCTTCATCCCTCCCAAATAATGGGAAAACCGTGGGGCATTCCTCCGTACATTAGTTCAGTTGTGTGAGCAAAGGAAAATAGTGCGCAACCCATTTGCCCACATGTCTTCCATTTTCTTGCGGGCTGATCTTGCTAGCATTGCGCCACCACGCAATCGCGTAAAGCTCACTTGTTCCAAACAGCTCTACCCCGCACGATGTTCTAACCCCGCTCCTTCCTAGGCCAGCCGTCAGGCAATCGCTCTCTTGGCCATGGCAAAACTCAAGGCGGTCCGGCGATCTCTCTCTTTCTCTCTTTCTCTCTCTGGGGAGGCAGCAGTGTCAGAGAAGGTGTAGAAATGCACTCGCCCTGCAAGGCAAAAACACAGTCATTGCTGAAACTTAAAGGGGCAGGTTTATGTGTTGATGCCTGGGGGGAAGAATACTATCATGCGCCCCTTGAGCAATCACAAACTCTGGCTAAGGACCAAACGGAGAAAGTGCAGAATGAAGGACGACAAAACTGCAAGCGCCGCTGGCCGCCAAGCATTGCGATGAATTGGTTGAAGTAAAAGTCCTTCAAGCTGGTTCACAGCAAGGGATTCTTACCTCTTAACTTAACACCGCTTGCCTCTATCTGGGCAAGTCTCTGTGGGGAGAGACCTCTGGCAGCAAGCTGCAATCTGAGCGCCAGGCGTGACACTGCATGGCCTACGCAGACCGCACACGCCTTGGCTATGCGAGCGCAAAAATCCCGCTGGACGATCACGCGTTGACAGGCCAAATAAAATGGAGCATCTTGATTTCGATTCAACGCAGGCGCCATAGCTCTACAAGCAAGAAGGGGGATGCCAAGCGACCCGCCCTGTCTGACTTTGTAAACGTGCCCCGTGTTCTCAAAGGCAAGGCTTCCCAGGGGAAATGCGCCAAGATCACAGCACACCAATCACGTGCAACCAATTGTGTGAAATGCATCCCTAATTGCTGAGAAGAAGATTGGCTCTTGCAACCAGGGAGCTGCAAGCCAGAAAAGACTTCGCGGCATGCAATGTGGGCAGCATCAGCTGACAGTTCCTTGCGAGCTCGTGGACACCGCTTGTTCAACGCAAGAAAGACGTGGGGGCGCTGGGTCATTGGCGATTAAAAGACTGATGAGCTCAAATCCACAACGGTTAAGGGGAAAACAGCCACGCCACACCTGATTCGTTGACCCCCTGTCACAAAATATGAGTTGCTCGCAACGGTACAGGTCAAACCACATAGCGACAAGAGCTGGCCGAAAGGACCCCAAACCAGGCACTCACTCATGGGCAACACACAGTCTGATTGAGAGCCGCAGCCCGCAATGGGCGGCTTTGCAGCTTCACGCAATCGCTGCAGCAGGTTCAGACCATGGCGGGATGAGGATGTTGATAGAACATGTTGGGTTTACCTTATCCTGATGTGTGTAGCAGTTTTCTTGGAATCATGCTCAAAGTTTGACCGGAAGCTCGTAGCAGAAACAACAGCATGGGAGACCAAACCAGAAGCCCAAAAAGATACGTTCAAGCCCTGCCACACATCGACCCCTGAAGCACTCAGGGCCAGACCCACCATGTCGCACCGCATAGCAAGGGAGGTGCCAATCAACACACTCCAATGGGTTCTTCGCTATGAGTGGCTGGCACTTGTGCCTGGATTCCCGGGTGTCAAACTACCGTGAAGGATTGGCACAAAATCAATGATAAGAGTTTCTTAAAGTCTTAGCTTAGAAGCAAACAGTTGTCAAACAACTTCATTTAAGCGACTGTGGCATCTGATGATAGCAGCACGCTAACATTATATATCTAGAGCTTCATGGGTCTGAACTAGGTTCGGCAATCATACCAGCCACGGTGCATGTGATGTTTGTGTTGTTTGTTCTAGTAAGGCTTGTCGAGTTGAAATCGTCGCTGTGTCGCTGCATGACAACTCCAAGGCCGAGGCACGTGCTGACTCCAACATGGGCTCTGGCCTTTCAAGCCTGGAAGCCGGCAGGAAGTCTGCATTGCCAAATAGCAAACAGCCCGCGTCTATCTCCCTGGCCTCAAGACGAATAACACCATCAAAAGCCGCAACCCATATCAACTGGCTCCCCATTCCGGAGGAACTGGAAAAGCAGGTCGAGCACTTGGAGGGGTCCCATGGCTCCGTCTCCTTTTCAAATGGCTGGTAGGTAGGGCGGTATTTTCTAAACTAGCTCAACAAGGGTTCAAATATATACCAAATATCAGTGAACTCCTGATGTGGAAAGCAGATCGCAAGGAATTGGGCCGCACAAGCCCCCAGAACCCACGCCCAGCTTTTGCAAAAGCCGCGCGAATTGAGACACAAACGCGAATTAGGACATGCCGGTCAGGTGCCTGCGACAGCGGCTGGCCTGGAGGAACGACATCTGGCCAAACAATATCTTTCTGCAACAAACACACTCCTTACTACAGTTGATCTTCGCGATGTAAAGGGCTAGTTCATTCATGTTTGAGTCATGTATCGAGCTGACGTGTCCCCTTCAAACAAGCCGCCAAGTTAGCAAGCATAAGTCCAGCCAGAATTCTGCATTGTCGCCGCACCAGCTGACTCAAGCCCATACATACCACCGGTTGATGCCTACCAAATGACTCCAGCCGTCCCGCAAAGCCGGTGGTTGGCTCATCGACTCTGGAGCACCAGTGTTGCTTCCATGGCGAACACAAGTCACACCGAGACACTCCATTGCTAGACATGTGACCCAAGGTCATAAGAAACTATTGCCATGGTGAAGCGCCTAGTATTTCCGCAGCATCGATCCCTGCAACCGGCCCGCCTTTGTCCCCGGCTGAGGGCTTCTCCCCGTAAGCTCTCAACCTCAGACTATCCAATTCCCGCCAAATGACAAGCACAGTGCAAACACTTGTCGAGACCCAGGCAGCCGCGCATGATTGCAAAAACACGAAAACAAACACCAGACTTCAGAGCATGGCTTGCACCTCTACCTTTGTTAGTTCATGTGCTTGTTGAACTCAGGCTCGGGATGAAAGCTCAGCGGAAACAACTGACGGAGCTGGCTGCCGGCTTCCACCGCTGCCTGTCCCAAGACAAACCAACGTTGGCGAGCCGTACTCTTCAAATCTCTTCAACTGCGTACACGTGACTGCAAAGGCCAAGCACAATTTCTCTGAACTTGATAAAGCAGCCAGATGCTCTTCTGCAGCCTCTGGAAACTCCTGCTCGAAATTAACAGCCATCTAGAGGCCTGCGGACCTCATTGACATCGGGACGCGCGTCCACCCAGCGCACTGGGAAGGTGCCCTGCTCCCATGCTTTCGTCCTGGCGATCCAACACCTTGACGTTTGTCGACACGAAACCGAGGAATTAGACCGCTCATTGGCAAAAGAACTAATTGGGTGACCGCTCCAATATCTATATATATATATATATATATGTATTTATACATACATATATATGTAAATATATATATATATAAACACAACTACTGCCTCCGACCCTCCCACTGCCCGCTGGGCTCCGGGCCGCCTGCTGCAGCTGCCCTATGCCCCGCTGGCAGTTCTGCTCTGCGTGCGCCTGCAACTGCCCCAAGCGCTGCACCTGGAGCGAAGGGACGAGAGAGACGTGGAACGTGGCGATTGAAAGACGGGCCTGTTGGTGTCCCTTGGAAACAACACTCAAAATGCGTATCTGGAAACAAAACACTCCTTATTCCCCCTTTAAACATCACCTCAACAAAGAGAAACTCAAATAGGCAGCGTGGACCTGAAACCGACATGTTTGGCCATACCAATCTGGTACTAGGAGCAACCCTGAACGCCCCAACGTTCGGAACGAGCGTTGGGATCGGATGGCACTCTGCCCACGCGGAAAGAGCAACCCTATTTGAACTGTTTGGAGGGCAACCCTTGATCAAATGCTTTAAAATCCAAAAAAACTTCTGGAGGGTAACATGTACCTCAGTGTTTGCCCCCCAACGTAAGATAGTAGACTTAGATGAAGAAGATGAAGGTTGAACCTCTCGTTCGGGCCACGTGCAAAAGGGGGTCTTTGTGAGCCTGCACGAGTTGATTTACACCGAGCCCTTAAACACACCTCAGCAAATATTCCAAACATGGATTAAGGCAATTTAGAGATTACAAATCCTTACGGAAGGGAGGCTGTGAACAGTTGGGTGCTTTTCACTTTCCTGGGTGCCCTGAACAAAGTTAATACCCTGAATGGGATCCTTTCTTTTTTGGTATTTCTTTTCACCGTCAATTAAAAATTCTGGTCCATTTTTAATTGACGGTGAAAAGAAATACCAAAAAAGAAAGGATCCCATTCAGGGTATTAACTTTGTTCAGGGCACCCAGGAAAGTGAAAAGCACCCAACTGTTCACAGCCTCCCTTCCGTAAGGATTTGTAATCTCTAAATTGCCTTAATCCATGTTTGGAATATTTGCTGAGGTGTGTTTAAGGGCTCGGTGTAAATCAACTCGTGCAGGCTCACAAAGACCCCCTTTTGCACGTGGCCCGAACGAGAGGTTCAACCTTCATCTTCTTGGCTGCCGCATGCTCAACTCTGGCTGCTGTTCTTGACCTCTTAGTTCTGCGTTTCCGTTTCAAAAATCATGCAAAGCAAGCTCCACTTTTTGACACGTTCCCATTTCGATGGATGCCTCCGCAGCCATTTCCTGACCCTGCAGCCGCACGCCGCGCAACTGGACCTAGCCCGGGTGGCTGTGTGTGTCGTGCTGACTTTTGGGGAATAGCCTACGCAACGCAAACATGGCAGTCCGACAGAAACATCCAAAGTATTGCAAAAACCTTCATATCCCATGTCAAATTCATACCGATACTGCGCCCCCTAAACTAACCAAATACCAATCACCAAAAACTCACCTTACGGCAATCACTCATCCTCAAACAAACCCCACCCCAAACCAAGCAGAAACCCACCCAAATTCGCCTCGGCCCCAAAGGGGCCAAGGGCGCTCAGATCTCTTCTCCAAAGACCCTCCCCACCTTTTGCCGGCCACCCCCCCCCCCACCCATGTCGGCTGGCGCCAGGCCTGTCTGACGTGTCTGAGACTAGGCTCAGGCCCAGCCCAACCAGCAACCCGCCTGCTGGCCAGGCCTGTCAGCCCAGCCCACCCAGCCTCAGGCCCAAGCTTGTCTGAAACAGGCCGAGCCCAAAGCACAGCCCCAATTTCACACCCAACCCCAAGGCCGACCAGCAGGCTCAGCCCAGCGTGCCAAGGTCAGGTTTGTCTAACGTGTCTGAGACTGGCCCCAGCCACGCATCCAAGACTGATCTCAAGCTACGCCAGCTACTACGCCTGTCTGACGTGTTTCAGCCCCCAAGCAGCTCAGCCCAGGCTAACCAGGCCTTCATTTCCTGCTCGCGTCTGGCCCCAAGTCACCCACCTGCTGGCGTGTCCAGCCAGCAACTCGCCACCCAGCCTCAGGCCCAAGTGTGTATGAAACAGGCCTTGCCCATCCAGCAACCCGCCCAAGCACAGCTCAGCCCAGCCCAAGTTCCAGGCGCAACCAGCAGCGTAGTCCGGCTGCCCGGCAGCCAGCAACCCACCCATGGCTTCGCAGCCTTGTGGCTAGCTTCAGGTCTCAGAGCATGCCAGCCACTAGGCCGGCCCCAGCTCCCAGCCCACCAGCAGGCTCAGCCCAGCGTGCCAAGGTCAGGTTCGACCAGTCTCACGTGTCTGGGACTGGTCTCAAGCTATGCCAGCTACTAAGCCTGTCTGACGTGCCTTGACCTCCTGCTCGCGTCTGGCCCCAAGTCACCCAGCAGGCCCAGCCCCTTCGGCGCAGTCTCAAACTGGTCAAAGTATGCCAGCCTGGGCCCAGTCCCTGCTGGCGTGTCTTACGTGTCTGCGACTGGCCTCAGGCCCAGCCCAGCCAGCGCCACCCAGCCTCAGGCCCAAGTGTGTATGAAACAGGCCTTGCCCATCCAGCAACCCGCCCAAGCACAGCTCAGCCCAGCCCAAGTTCCAGGCGCAACCAGCAGCGTAGTCCGGCTGCCCGGCAGCCAGCAACCCACCCATGGCTTCGCAGCCTCGTGGCTGAGACTAGCTTCAGGCCCAGCCCAACCAGCAACCCACCTCAGCCCAGCCTGCCCAGCCCAGGCCCCGCGCATCTCAGGGCATGCCAGCCACTAGGCCGGCCCCCAGCTCCCAGCCCACCAGCAGGCTCAGCCCAGCGTGACGGCTTCCGAACTAGCACGGGCGGCTTCCGAACATCGAACTAGCACGGGCGAACTGGTGCGGTCACAAGCTTTCAGTAGGATTCGGACCTTCCCAACACTGGATTTCGGTGTTCCTGACCCTTCCCTCAACTAGGCTGGGCCGAGGCGGGCAACGCGAAGCGTTTACAATAATGCCTCCACCATGTGCACTTGCACAAGCCTTGCATCAAAATTAACACAATCAAGCACACCTCGCCCCACGTGAACCCCAAACGCACCTGCAACAAATCACAAGCTAACCCTGAGCGAACGCTAAACCGAGCCCAATCGAGCCAGCCTAAACCAGTCCTGATTCAACCCCCCGACCCACCCTGAATCAATCCCGGCGATGATCCTGAATCCACCTTCAAGCAACCTAACTTCAATCCTATGCAGCAAAACATGCTGACACCATGCCCACAGAATCGTCATTCCATCCTTGTCTATCTAAAACTCACTAAGCCCGAAATGTTCTTTCGTACATCCAGAAAGCCTCTCTCTATCTCGTTTCGTGTGAATTCCGAGGGGTTTAATCACCTGTGAGCCACTGGTCCAACCCTCGGAGCAAGATAGAGAGGATGAGTTTGGGGATGTGGGTGAAGGCTGACATTAATTGACCAGCAAATATTAATTCCTTCACTTGGAAGTGAAAGAACTGGCATAAATGTCCTGGTCCCTTCTCTTACTTATCCACTCACACCCACTCTTCCCTGTCATTCACCTCTGGTGCTTTCCCTCGATTCACGGCCTTGATGAAGAGGTGAGAAAAGGAAGAGAACATCAATCTCTTGTGTGACAAGAGAAGAACTGAAGTGAGTTCTCGCTACCGCTCTTCTTTGTCAACTTCATGGGCTATTTCTCTCGTAATTTCCTGTAGACTCACTCACTCTTGGTTCATCACCTCTCTGCAGCATCAACTTACTATTCCCTCAAAGCTACTTGTTTTCTTCTCGGAAGTTTTGGAGGTAGAACAGGTGCAAACAAAGCAACTATTTACATCATAGCTGTAACGTGAAAGAAACATCTTACATGTTCCTTGTCTATCTTGTCTCGGTTATATGTGCATTGATTGTCCAATGAACCCAACACATCAGGCTCATTTCCTTGTTATGTCTACACCAAATAAATCCTCCCGGATTTGCTTGCTATCTCGGTACCGCTGTCTCATGTCCAAGTCTTTCCAATGATATTCTCTGGTCACATGATGGACACAAAAGTATGGCGAGAGAGAGTGAGACAGAGAGAGAGAGAGAGAGAGAGAGAAAGAGAGAGAGCGAGAGAGAGACAAATGGAGATGCAACGGAAGCAAACTGTATACGCCAAAAAATGACCAAAGGAAAGAGATAGAGTGCGTTGATTCTCGGGGTTGAGATTTGTGTCTTAAACACTTTTGGTTCCTTCCTCAAAACCATTCCATCTCAAATATAATTCCTCAACGCCCACCCAATAAATCCCTTAAAAGCAGTAGCCCACCCGCTCCAAAACCAGTGCACACCAGTCGGGAGCATCTCCGAAACCAAGTGAATCCTTCACTCTCGAAGCTCCAAGTTCAACGCCCAGAAACATACGAGATACTAAAACCGACCTGAATCAACCCCCATCACACCCGAAACTATTGCAAAATCCAGTCTATTCATCCAATTTCACCCGTGCCAAAATTGGCTAAAAGATCATCTCAAATGAAGTTTAAGTCCGCTGAAACCACAATGAGGCGGACCTCTCTGTTTTTGCAGAGATGGACCAGAAATTGTCCAACTGGAAACACGTTGCAAATGAAATAGGGACGAACAGGGGCACAAATACACCAACACGACCCCGCCTCCGTGTCGTCAACGCGAGTTCTAAGAGTGGCTAAGCCTCAGTCGGGCAAGAAAAGCCATCTGAAGCAATTTGTTTTTTCACAGACACATCAAACACACACACACACACACAAATGGCCACCACTTGAAGGATCCAACGTTCAATGTGAGAGGCCAATGATGAGACCCTCATGATGGATAATTTACGGCAATGCACCTTTCAGTCGTCGGGGTGTAAGCAAACACGCCTGTGCAAGTACGCACACATCAACGCACAAAGACATGTAGACTCGTGAAAATGTCTGCGCACTGCAGGTGCCTTTGCATGTCAATCTACTTTGGGTGAAGGAGCCTAGTAGTCCAAACTAGGCTCATCCCAATCTCTACAAATATCAATCCTGTGCATGTCACACACTTCGACCCATATGAACGCAACACCAAACAAGACCATTCAGCTGAGCAAACTGAAACCGAGTATGCTACCAGTATCAAACTTGCAAAACAGTTGCTGCTCTCACCATTTTTGTGTGTTGGTGACTAGCCTGCCTAGTGCCTTTGGAAAACAATGCAAAAAGGGCCTTGCCAGACTCGTTTGGTAGATGTTGAACGGAAATCCTCTCTCAAAGGTGACACTAGGCTGAGTAAGTATTGCTAGAGGGCGGGGCGCAATCAAAACCAATACGGTTGTGAAGTTACTATGCTCCCCTGCTAAAGCCGCACTGTGGCTTGAAATCTGTAGCTGATTTAAACTAGCTTGCTTTCAACAAGGGATGCTGGAATCGAAGGGCAACACTTTTTTGCGGTGTCAGCAATGTCAGTCAAATCAGGGTGCAAACTTGCACAGGTCCATGAGGGGTCTACCGGTCTACCATACATATGAAGTATTTCGTCTTTATTCACAAACATGCTCACTGTCACTTGCTCGTTGAAATCCCGCTAGACTTCCGCCGAAAGCGATCCCCCTTGACCCCAAGAAACCTTTCCACTGCACATCACTCCCAGGCCCACGCCACAAGGCTCCGCATGGCCTCAGGTCTGATCGGACGAATCGCACCTTTCGCCAGCCCCAGTATGAGCACAACATGGATACATTCCAAGTGATTTCCGTGTAAAGCAACCAAAACAACCCCAAACAAGGACCCTTAAAAACACACATATACATATACACACAATTGGCTATCTCAAAACTGCAGCTTTTCCCAGTGGTCGGCTTCCGATATCACCCTGTGACTGTTTTTGGCGTTTTGCAGCCCAGTGTATGTTAATGTCCGCAACATCTCATACCAAGTCAATTTGTTCTGACAAGCAACTCTAATTCCAAGATCTGAAAACAAGGAAATTTCGAGAAAAGGGCCTACATCATGGCTTTTGCTCTTTGCTACCGCCGAATCCGCGTGCCCGCCATAAAATATGCAGTAAGCTTCAGGATGCGCCGACAAGGCCATGGCCTGGGAAGTTGGCCAGCCGGATCCCCCGGGATCCCTGGTAACCAATGAGCCGTGGGGGCTCCATCTTTGTTCAACCAAACTCACTTCGAATGGACACCTATAGTCGCAGGTGGTCCAGGTTGTTTAGTGACCTGGTTAAACAGGGCATCTTTTTTGGCGCCAAAATCATCTTTAGCCGGGAACCCGCCAAACAAGAGGGGGCAAAGAGGTAGTCATGAGGACACGTTCGCTTGTTTCTTGGAGGGCGGTCTTGCTTGTTCTCATGGACAGCTAGATCACTGGGTCACTTGATCAAGAAAGGATTATGTGGACAATCAGCGTGAAGTGAGCCATGCATTGTTGACCACAGAGCTAAAACACACCATGACCTGAGGGCCCCAGAGGATTTCGAGCAGGATTGAAAGTGGGCATGAGTCCTTTAGGGAGTGGTTCCGAAGACAAACCCATAGGAATCGACGCGGCGCACTGTGAACGGAAAAACTCCACTCACCGAGGCCAGGACAAAGATCTGTCAGCTGGCGCCTCAACTCGATGCGGTCCTCAGGTTACGTGGACGGCCGACCCAAGGTCCATTCCCGGGGCTCCTCGTTTGTTTTGGTGTTGCTACCGAAGACTAAATGTATATCGGTGTGAAATTATGGATGTGTATAATATATAATATGCATAAATATGTACATACAAGCCCATATTATATGAACAACTGGAACGAGCCACTAATCAGTATCTGTCACATACCGTCACAATGCTTTCTCATGGCAACCAGCCTGTGATTTGTATCAGTTGGAAGATGTTGCAGGGTTCCTAAATGTCAACCTAAAAGAAACTCAATCAGCATGGAGCTGAACGGTAAGATTTAACTCGCTGTGGCGGGTGGTCCCAACCTTCTACTCCCAAAGTTATGGTTGTCCCTCATAACTGTCACTCACATGACACGGCATTGCTGGCGCCTAAGCAGGGCTGGGCAAACAAAATGTGTAAACGAATTGAACGTCGTGGGCGCTCTAAACGTTTAAACAAAGCAAACGTCGATGTGTAAACGAACAAGCAGACTGTTTAAACACCAAAAACATGTTTAATCATGGAAGATGTTTAAACCAACAGAAGATGTTTAAACGTCCGCGAACGTTTCAGAATGGAGGGAGTGTTCAAAAACTCAGCTGTTCCTGCTGGGGTCCACCTAAACACCCGGAAACAATCGAGAGAGCAAATCGAGAGAGCTTTCTACTCCACAGGGTTAAGTGTCCCTGAAAAATCAGTGGCTACCCTCACGGTTGCCAGCAGCATATTTGGAACGCCCCAAAACAAGGGGGGCCGGGGGGTCGTTTCAACACCCAGGAGAGCTGTATAACCCCCCCAAAACGCAGGGAGGTGGCCAGAAATCGTTTAAACACTGAAAAATGGTTCATCATGTTTAAACATGGGGGGTTTAAACACCCAGGAGCCGTTTAAACACCCAAAGATGTTTCAGCAAGAGGCCAGGGACTCTTTGAAGCCTGGAGCTGTTTAAGGCCCCCCCAAAACGCAGATAGCTGGCTGGAAGCCGTTTAAACACCGTAAACTGGCTCAAGCCTGCCGAAACTGTGACTAATTCCTTCTTGCGCAAAACACAGTGA